GGGCAGGCGGATGGACCCAGGGGGCGTGCATGTAAGTGAGCTGTGCAAGTGTCTGTGAGCGTGTGTGTGGGAACGTGTGCACGCAGTACAGTGTTGTGTGTGTATGTGGTAGTGTGTGTGTGCACATGTGAATGTCTCTGAGGTGTGCTCTGGGGGTGCATCCTATACTGCTGGGTTGTGTGTGTGTTCCCAGACACCTGGGTTCAGTGAGGGGGGGCCCAGCTCTCTGCCCCCCCGTGATCCAGCTGCTCCAGTGCGGGGGCAGGGGGGGGCCAGTGCCCTGTTGTGCCCGTGGGTATGTGGGGGGGCTGCCAGGTGCAGGGAACAAAGCTGGAGAACCCCAACACCCCCCCATGAATAAAGCAGCTGTGACCCCCGCCAGTCTCAGACTCGTGCTGTGGGTGCCAGGGGCGTGCTGCCAGCACCGCAGGCAGTGGGCGCTGTGCCAGGCCGCTGTGGGGCTGCGGTGTCCCCCCTGCCATGGGTGCGGCACGTGGCTCATCCTGTCGTGGCGCCACCCTGGCCACAGCTTTTGGTGCAGGGGGGGAGGCAGGACCCCCCAACCACCTTCAGGGTATGGGGCATGGTCACAGGCTCCTGGGGGGCTGGTCAAGTCAGGGGTGCCCCTGGGGCAGAGGCGGGTTGGGGTCCAGGGACCTTTGTGCCCCAGGGCCAAAGGGCGCTAGGCTGGCGGGGTCCTGGCAGCCCCCTCCTCCTTGCACAAGCCCTGAGGGGCATGGGGCACACACGCCTGGCACACGCCTGCCCCAGAGGGAAAGGGCAAAGGTCACCCCTGAGTCCAAGCGGGAAGGAGATCGCAGGAGTCCGGGCTCCTGGCAAGTGCTGCTGGGGTCCCGGTTTGTCACCTGCGGCTCAGGGAGTCCGGTTTGGGACAGGACGTGCACGCTGGGTGTGTCGGGGGCTGACCGGCTGCCAGGACGCATGGACCCAGGTGGCTGCTGACCACGTGGAAACAAGCAGGGACCTGCCCAGGCTCCTTCAGCAGAGGCCTCCGGTGCCTGGGATGTTTTGGGGTGCCCCATAATCCCGGCCCGGACTCAGCTCCTTTATCAGGGCCGGAGCCGGGGGCCGGGCCCACGACCGCTGGGGTCGATCCGAGCTCCAGGCTGGGAGCAGGATGCTGGGGCTGTCCCGGGTGGGAAGGGGGCCGGGCCCCTGTGCGAGAGGTGACTCGTGCGGGGCGGGACTGGAGGCCGGGGCCGGGGCCGGGCCGGGGAGA